ATTACAGCTCCTTTTCACAATAACCCTGTAGTTATAACTTCCTTTGCTAGGAAAAAGAGGGTAGAAGACAAATTCTCATTCTTCTTTGTTTTCTTTCTCTTTTTTCTAATTTTCCTCTACCTATACTTTCCAAAAAAAAAAAAAAAAATGTTCGGTTAAAAAAAAAAATCCCAGCTTTAGCTACCTTCTTCATGTCATGTAAAACCACTTGATTTTTTTCCCCACAAGGAATAAAAACTTAAGATTTTAATTCTTGGAAATATAAAATAAAAAGCACTTAGAAAAGCATTAAAATGACAAAAAAGTATTAAATTATAAATTTCCAAAGTGAATTCAAGGACATCTCCATAAACATCAAAGTGTCCATTTTAATTGGTTCCAAAGAATTGAGTCCCCAGCAAATTTTTACTGGTCATTATTTACTCTTCTCTAACTTACTGAAGTATTATTATAAATGCTGAGTTTTAAGGCTATTGTCTCCTTGCTTTGTATCTTCACAATCTGCTTGCTCCCCCCACCCAGTGACAGTGTTTATACACAGTGAAGGTAGCTCAATCAAGCCATGCAGAATTGAATTACCGACCTTAAAAAGAAGACATTCATTAATTGGGAAGGTCATATTTTAAACAGATGTATATCACTTTACAGAACAGGTTGATTCCTGAAAGTCAGGTTAATTTCTGTAAACCAAATCATACCTCAGCCCTAGGAGAAAAAATTCGCCCAGATTCACACTTGTGAAAGCTATTAAATTTTTTTAATCATACATTAAGGAAAAAAAGAAAAAAAAAGCAACTATAATTTCCTAATTAAGAAATAATGGGTCAAAATTACTTTAAAATGAAGCAAAGAAGTGGCATACCATAAAACATGTTCTCTTCACTCTATATCCAAGTGAACGGAAGACGTGCTGGGGATTGCCTGCCTTTTGAAAAATGGGAATTTCCTGCATTTTCTCTATTCTGACTATAATGAAACTCCTTACCTACATAATTATGATGTACATTCCCTCATTTAAAATCTATTACATAACACAATAATGGGTGCTTAATAATGTCTTTTGCAATATAGCTCATCTGCCCATTTGTTCATTCATTCATTTGTGCATTAATTCATTCAAATATTTTTTAAGTGCCAACTATGCACCAGGCATTATAGATGATGGGAATACAAAAATGAATAAAACATAAAAAGTTCCCTGCCCTCATGGAGCTTACATTCTAGTTCTTCAAAAGGATCTCCAACTAAAACACAAGTATTCAAAATCCAAGAGGAAAGCTTTCTGAAAGGCTCCATCAGTCAAGTTGTCCCAGAGGAGCAAAGGCTACAATATGTACTTCATTTGACAGTTGTAGTGCATTTTATTTTTACCAAAACTAGGAGAAAGCATCCTGGTTAGTTTCTAAATTTCCTTGAATTTTAATTTATACTTTACTACTTCTAATTTCCTTCAATTTACACTTTCTATTTCTGACATATTCTACTATTTCCTTGAAGAGAACAAAAGAGAGATAACCCTTTTCAATTTACAACCTAACTGACTGATGATCAATAGGTACCAATTAAGTGATGGTCTATGTAAGAGGAATTTTTTGTTATAAATGAATCTGCTTCACAATTACAGGATTGCTTGGCACTGCTGCGTCGGCACAACTTAATCATAAATTGGGATTTTGACTGGAGATGCCAGTACTTGAATTTGACTTGAGTTTGCTTGGTTCTATTAACTTTTTTTTTTTTTTTACTGTCCTATTAACTGGACTTATGCTTCCTAATCAGGATTAGTATGTGGTAAACACTATTGTATAAGATGGCTTTCCCCTTGTCAAAGGTTGCAGGTAATTTTGCTTGCACTGCTGTCAGTGAAGTTACTGCTAATGTGCTCTGGACCCTTTTTTCACTCTGCCCTCAATTCCTGCCTCTGCCTTTACTTTCCTTAATCAAAATCCATTCAAAGTCAAGGTCAATTATCAGAGCTAATCTAAACTCACTAAGTTTAACATGGTCAGGCCACACTGTGGCCAAGCTCAGTGGTCCTTCATCTTTCCTTGGGCTTCTCCTCCCTCTTCATGTCACAACCAGTGGTGATGTTTTCACTCTGACCTACAGAATTCACTCCACCAGCACTACCTCCCTTCACTCCAGCTGACAGAGAAGTTAGGAAATCTACAAGTATGCCACAGAGTGATAAAAGATGCAAAGCTAGGAATTAGAATATCAACTTTGCTCTGCACCAAAGGATTCAGAAAGATTCAGGCATAATAAGGAAATCATTCACTCCATCTATGATTTCTACATTTACATTTCCATATTTATTCAACAAATATTTATTGTGTCCTTATTATGTTCCAGGGACTGTTATACAGTTGGTTTCTTTTAATGGGAATACACCAACACTGCACCAAAGCAGGGGTGGTAAATGCCTGACCTACAGGCATATCCAGTGGTCAGCTTTATTTGTCTCACCCAAAGAGCAGGCAGGTATTAAGAAATGAAAACATAGCAGGCTTTTAAGTCTTTGAAAGCAGTAAGATGAAGACATACTTCTATGAAGAGAAAAGGCCTGTGTCTTTCTCCTTTTCTGCTGTATATACCTCTCTGTCTCTACTTCTTTGCTCTTGTTTTCTCTTTCTCATTCTGCCTCCTTTCCTTAACTGGCCACAATAAAGCACTGGAATATTGAATTCTGTTCCCATTTTCAATTTAAAAGGCAGACCAACTCAACATTTCAGGTTTCTCCCCTGAAATAAACAAACAAAAAAGCCTTTTGTTGCTTTTGAGTGGGGGGAAGAGGGCTGAGGTTATAAGAGTAGGTCTATATTCCTTGAAATATAGACTCCAGAGAATCTCCAGCTGAAATGAAATTCCATTTTGGCAAGCACAGATATTGCATTAAGAGTAAAACAATAATAACCATTGTACTTCAAAAATCTACACAAAAAAGGAATACAATCAAAGTTCATAAGGCACAAGTGTAAAAGGTAAATAAATATTTCATGAAGAAAGTAAATAAAAATCTATCCAAATTATGTCAACAAAAAAATGGAATAGAAATAAATGCATTTAAAGCAAAAGTTATTTATAATTTTTATACACTGAAAATAAGAATTCTCCACTCCTAAGAACAGTCTCCAAGTGAATTTTATCACAAAATTATTTTATATTTTCCATTTTACAATTTCTCTCTTTAGTAGTTACTATGAACTATAAATTAATCAGTTTCCCAGAAATTAAATATCTTCCTAAAAATGCTACATAATCCCCATTACATAAGAATGTCACAGTATCTTTTTCTTCACCACACAAAAAAATTCTAATAACTTATTCTTTATTTGTCATCTTTCTACAGAAATAATCAGGAGTTAGCCTTACCAGAAAATTATACACATTATAAATACAAAAGTTTTAATAAACTACTTGATCAGACTATTATGTTGCAAATATGACTAGAACATGATATCACAAATTAAGTCATTAATTCCAAAACAATTGTTTATTAACAGAAAAGTACAAAGAAGTACAAATGGATATCCTATTTCCCCCTATTATGGTCCATCTATCTATCTCTCTTTTAATTCATGACATGATCTCTAGAAGCTCTAAGAATGGATAAAATTTTTCTGCTTCCAACTGGCCCTAATACCCATCTGGAAACAAAGCAGCATATATTTAAGTTATACAGTTCATGTCAATTTAAAAAATTTTTTTTCTGTATGAGTTGTCATAAAAGCCACTTCCCTTGCAATACACCATGTACCTAAACTGAATGAAACATACCAGCATCAACATCCATAAACCATGTTTAGATGTCACTAGTGTGTTTGCCTTGAAGTAACAGTTTACAAATGAGTTTGAAAGTGTCAAAATGATTTTTATAGACATTTACTAGTAATACTTCAAGTCAAAAACATCTTGTTAACTAAACTAAATTGGGGTACATGGAGAAAATTCAGCTTGCTGTGCTTTTTGCAATGATTAGCTAATCACACATCTAAACTTACTGCTATTACTTCAATTTTCTTCAAAAATGGTTCCTTTTCAATTTGTAATTTCAGCAAACCTAAGTTTGTTCCAGTCTCTCTACAGGCCTGAAGTATTTCCCTGAATCATGGTAAATGCTCAGTACTTCGTGATTATCTCACAGTGCTCCTTTAAATATCAGTAAAGATGGGGAGATTTAGTAAACTGCAGTAAATAATGCCTAATTCGCTTTTTGTTATCACTCATCAAGACAGAACATGTGGTTTTGCTCACTGATGGTTCTAAAAGCCTTGTGTAGAATTTATTTTTTTTGAATGATAAGTTCCAGCCATTTGGTTTGTGTAGGGAGCCAGGTCAGAGGCTGCCACTCATATTTTTCTCTTTGCCTAGAACTACTCTCATACACATGGATTCAGTGTTGGATTAGGCTATTATAACATAAGAATGCTATACCAGTGAACATTCTTTGGGAACTGGAAAATTCAGATGACCACTCACTAAACATAAAACCATCATTCCACAAATATTTTATTCACATCAAACTTGCACAGTAGCAAAAAAAAAAAAAAAAAAAAAAAAAAAAATCAAAACATAACTAAGCCACATATCAAAGAACAATATACAACAAAAATTTGAATTTTTCAATGGCATTGGATAGAAGGTATTTCCATAAATAACATTTACAATTCTACTGTTAGGTCTTTCAAGGTGTCTGCAGCTTCACAGTGCTAGAACTGATTTTTATCAGAACACATGCAAAAAATGTGCAACAAAATCCATATTAATGACACAAAAAGCACACCAGTTGTCATTCCAGTGTGGCCATGCCACTCTATGTTTCTAAAAACAAACAACCCCCCAAATCCGGGTCCCATTCATTCTTCAATTATGCCTTTAGTCATTCTGCTTTATTATATTCAAACAGTCACTGTTAGTGCTCTTCACCACGACTTTCAGGCTGACGTCACTCCCTGCCTGTTGGCTGTCAGGACTGGGGGACGCCCCTCTCCCAGACTCACCTTCTTCCGGATGTCTTCATCATTTGCTCCTAGAGAGGCATAGAGCTTGAATGCAGCCTGGCGGAGTTCATGAGCATGTTTTAAGTCATGATCAAGCTATAGGAGGGGAAAAAAAAGATATGCTCCAAGTCAGACCACAAATTAAATTTTCAATAAAACTAATCAAGTAGAGCTGAAGAAAAAATAATTAACAATCATTAATATATTTAATGCTGTAATTTAACTTCCCAGTTATTTCTAGTTTCTGTATACATATGACTGAGGCTTGGCTATGTTTGTGTCAGCATGACCTGAAATGCATACAGTCTGCTTCTATCTAAAAGTTAACATTGTAACACTTGACACTGATACATGAAAAACCTTTGTAAACTTTCGATCCCTAAAACTTCTTTGTTCTTAGGTGGTAGTTCTACTGCCATTGATGTTTAATTATAGCAGCTCTTTGGAATGCTCTCCTCAAAAGGAAAGCATTCCCAAGCCTTTCTAGGCCCAGAACACAGCTGGTAACTTGAGTGCTACAGCAACAATGTCTTTAAGAGGCTTTCCCTAATATTCTCAAACATTAGAAAATTTTCTAGTGCAGCTGAGAAAATGCTTTGTCAACAACCTGTATCACAAGAAATATTAAAGGAGTGAAGGCAGAAGGAGAGTATTAATAGGTGAAAACTTGGCTCTGCACAAAAGAATGAAGAACAATGGAAACGGTGAATATTTATGTGGTAAATATAAGACACTTTTCTTCTTATTTTAGTCTATTTAAAAGATAACTGAATGTTTAAAGTAAAATAATAACAAAGTATTGTGGTATTTAGAAGATATGTAGAAGTAAAATGTATGACAACAGCACAAAAGACAGGAGCAGAAAATGGAAGTATACTGTCTTAAGGTTCTTATAATATGTCTAAATTGGTATAATGTTACCCGACAGAAGAATGTGAAAACTGCAAATTGTAAATCTGAGAGCAAACACTAAAAACATAAAACAAAGAAGTTTAACTTAGAAGCCAATCCAAAAACCAAACCTGTTGCCATCAAGTCAATTCCAACTCCTAGCGACCCTACAGGACAGAGTAGAACTGTCCCGTAGGGTTTCCAAGGCTGTAAATCTTTACGGAAGCATACTACCACGTCTTTCTCCTGCAGAATGGCTGGTGGGTTTGAGCCACCAACCTTTTGGTTAGCAGCCAAGCACTTAAACACTGTGCCACCAGGCCTCCTTAAAAAGCCAGTAGTAGAGATAAAATACAATAATAAGAAATATAAAATAATAGTTTTTGTTAATGGTGGTAGAATAATTTGGAAAAGGACAATGTGGTAATGTTTACACATTCATACCATAATGGTGATGGTTGCACAGCATGAGGAACATAGTCAATGTCACTGATTGTATATATGAAAATTGTTGAATTGGCAAACGTTTGTCATATATATTTTTATCACAATTAAATAAATACGTTTTTTAAAAATACAAATAATTATAAAAAGGAAAGATGGGACAAAGAGAGAGCAAAAGAAAAATGACAGATTTCAGTCAAAAGATATCAATCATCACATTAAATGTAAACTGCCTAAGTACTCCAATTAAAAGGTAGAGAGTATAAGACAACTAGATTAAAAAAAAAAAAAAAAGCAAGACTCAATTACATGCTGTCTCAAGAAACCCTTTAAATATAAAAAGGATGGAAAAATATGTACCATGCAAGCACTAATCTTAAGAAAGCTGGCATGGACATAATAACTATTGTCATCGAGTTGATTCCAACTCTTGCTGATCCTATAAGACAGAACAGAACTGCCCCTGAGGGTTTCCAAGGTTGTAATCTTTATGGGAGCAGGCTGCCCCATCTTACTCCCATGGAGCATTCAAATCACCGACCTTTTAGTTAGCAGCCAGGCACTTAACCATTGCACTGCCAGGGTTCCTTGCATGGACCTGATGGTCAAAGTCAACTCACAACCACGAATGCTAAAAACTTAAAGCAGGCCAAATTTCTGAGGACCTGGTACTCTGAAGAATCCAAACTTGGATTAAGAAAAATATAGCCAATGGAAATAACCCAAATACCCATCAATAGGAGGATGAATTTTAAAAATTGTAGTATATCATACAATGGAATGTGACTCTGAAATGAACAAACACTGATACAAGCAACATGGAGAAATCTCAAAGCTCATCAAACTGTACACTTAGGATGTGTTAATTTTATTCAAGTAAGTTATACCTCAACAAAGGAAAAACAAGTAGTGCTAGCCTAATTTAAGCATTTAAAGCTCTTAGAAACAGGGAACCTTTTGTGAAAAACCTTAATAAACAATATGCCATGATAATCATTACTAGCTATTGCAGTTATCTAAGATTTATATTCTGGAGTTTCTTTTTCTTTCTTTTCTAATGAAAATTACTAAAATTACTTACTGGTATAAGATAATTAATGCTATTCTTCCACATGCATAATTGGCTTTTTAAGTTATCAATTCTTCCATAAACCTGACTGTATCACCAAACTACCATAAAAATGAAACTGAAGTATTTTCTCAGAACACTTTCAGTGACTATGAACAAGTAAATATACGATGTATATCAATAATGTGAATAATCCTATAACTAAGAGTCATAACTTACTCATTCAAATGAATACCACTTTCACCACAGGAGTTACCTTGAGCAAGTTCACTGTTAACCAGTGATGTATGTGCTACTCATAACATTCTGAGATACTTTTTTTGAACCCCCCTAACGAGCTAAAAGGCATATTTGCTAGAAAACCATGGAAGTGGTATACCTCATCAACTAAGGAAGTTTTAAGTTAATTGTTACTGATTGTGGTGTGCAAAGACAGAGAAATCCAGCTGGGTAAATATCATTTAAGGTAAAGAGAAAACAGAGTAAAAAAACTGAAACTGATCTGGGGTGGTTCTGAAGGCAATTGTTAAGAGTTCCAAAATTGTTTTGTTTTCATCAAAGCAAACACTGATGGATTATAGGAGGAACTTTCCAATATACAATACTCACTATGATATGTAAGTTCTAAAATAGCTATTTCTAAAGTCTCAACTACTTACTAGTCATAACATATATTAGAATACTGACTTGAACTACTATACCTTGAAAATCACACACTGGTGTATCAACATGTTAGAATTTCTCTATGAGTCTAGTACGTATAGGCTTATGGTCAGAAACCATTAGATAACTGATCATCAAAATTAAAGATGACAAAACAAATTCATACTCAAATTTGGCATTAGGTTATTTTTAAGATTTTTACCATTCCAGTTTTATCGTGACGAAAATGAAATGGAAAAACCCTAACAGAAGGGTCTTCTACATATTAGTTAAATGATTTGCACATGCATAGGCTAGAAGTTTTTATAACTATGTTTCCTCATTCTCATGTCCACCAAAGATCTTTTAACTATGTTTCCTCACACTCATGTCCATCAAAGTGCTTTACCTGGCTTGCTGGGGTGGTCAACTCAGGGTATTCGTGGGGTCACAGTTAGGGCTTATTCTTGTATCTTTGTACCAGTGTCAGTGCCAACAAGTGGCCAGAGGGAAAACAGGCAAGGGAGTGAATCTGCTTCAATTAACCCATCATGTCTATGGGAAAAAACAACACTACTGAAGGAAGAGCAAACACCCAACTTTAATACACAGAGGGCAATGTACGTTATTAGTGCAAATGTCAATGAAGATTATTTTGGGCCCTTCCTAAGACAGAGAAAAGCCACAACCTGAACAGCTTCATTTTTAACATTCAATGCCAAATGAACAGTTGCCTGATGGATGAGGCAGCTGAGAGGTTTAGGATTGAGAAGCATAGGGGAAGCAGAGAGAACAACTATTAAAAAAAGGAAAAAAAACCCCACTAAGATCATCGGCATAAAAAATATAGTTATATTCATGAAACAGTAAGTGGCTACTAATTAAGAGACAATGCTTTCCCTACTATGGCCTGTTTAAACAAACTTTCTCTTATAGAATGATATCTCTTATGCTTGGAGAAATGGATCTGACAAATTGGTTGAGAAGCAAAAAGTTAAAAGGAATATCTGTTCTAAGGAACTTATATTTTGAGAAAAAGTTAGCAAAATTCGGTCCGTGAGTATCCCAAACTAGTGGTTAAATGGTACTCTAGCTACCGCTAGCAGGCCCAAAGCATAGCATAAAAGTGGAGAAAAGGAAAGAGAAGACAGCAAAAGTCAGAAGAAAAGGTATAAAAAGAAAAGACTGTCTACAGCAAAGAGTAAAAGAAGGCCACTCAGACACCTGTGATAAAAGATTACTCTTAACCTAAAGAATGAGAAGAGACAGCAACAGAGATGATCCTGTGGCCTCAAACGGGATCAGATGATGTTGATATGTCAATGCCCAGCTTAGAGACTCCACTTGTTTTGGGTTTTAGTGGGGAGTTAGGGATGCAATTTTCTTCTTTCCTGTTTACCTGCTTAGTAAAAAAAACTTCTGACAGTAAACACTCAACAAATCGGATTTAAAAACTTCTGAAGCAATATAATCTACATTATCAAAAGGAACAGATTCCTTTATTTAAGAGTGTTGAACTGTAATTATCAATTGTTTCAGTGTTGGGAGCAGTAAGAAAAACCTTTAAAAAATCTCTCTCTTAAAAGGAAAAGAGAACATACCCTTTTAATATCAGTGATGGCACTCACTGAGCTGGGATATTTGAAATAATCAGCAAGCATGGCGATGAGGTGATCAGTTATGCTAGCAATCCTCTGTAGCTCAACATCTGGTTCAATCAGATAGGCGAGTGTCTCAGCTCCTTCAACTCTCTCCTCCAGTAATCTCTCCTTACTGCACATTCGAACCAAACAAGGCAATGTCTGAAAGGTAGTGAGATTAATTATTTGCTTTTTGGTAAAGGTAAAGACAGTCTGATGGAGAGCATACAGTCACTGACTCAACTCAATGGTTTTTATTGGGAGTCATGTTTATGATCAATGTTTCCCTTAATAATCAAAGAACAGCAAAAGGTTTTTTTGGAATGCAAAAACAAACAAATTGAATGCATATTAATCATCTGTGGACTGACATACTAAATGCTAATCAGATATTAAAACTACATTAATACAAACTCTAATTAGGCCTTTGTGATGGATAAGACTGAAGCTTTATTGTACAACCTTATAAAAGACATTTAAGGATCTCTAACAAATTATGTCTGATGGTTATGCCCCACCTAAGTATTTTTAACTTTAAAAGAGATCCAGTAGTTTCATCAGAAATGAACTTGCTTTAGAAGAACTATGCTATTTTTTCCTCAATAAGTAATATGGCTGTGATGACTTTTATTTTTGGTTTGGAGATTAATATCTACAGTGGCAAAAACAAAATATAGCTTTAAAAATTCAGTGATCTTAGCATTACTCAGATCCCACCAGTTTCTCCTATAACAAGTGAAATGCAGCAATCACAGTTCCAAGCTTTTCCCACTTTTGGAATGACTTGTGGTATCAACTAGTCCAAAGTAACCTCTGTAGCCCTTCAAAAATCTTGGCCACTGGTCTTGGTGATTCATCTACATTAGGTTCTCAATAAAAATATCCCATGCACTTAATATTTCTAGGGCTGATTAATCTGTTTTAAAGGATGACATGGAAGTATAAATAGAAATGTCATAATTATAGGGTGCCCTCCTCAACTACTGCAGTCAGCTGTGCTCTGCTGTTTTATAAGTTCCTATTACATCTTTACCACAGAGTTTAGTGCTTTACTGTTCACTATAGACTTCCTACATATTAGTGCAGGCTCTACAACTCAAACCTAGGCTCATGAGATATATTCTTATTTTTCTTTGAATAGTTACTAACATTTATCAATACCACACTCTACATGGATTATTGAATTTAATGCTCAGAACTCCATAAGGAAGATACTATTAGTTTACCAATGAGGAAGAAAAGAAGGGTTGAGATGTTAAGTAAATAAACCAAAGTCATGTGTATGGAAGTCCTTAGCAAGCTATACAGGGTTGTTTATTTAGGGAGTCGTCAGATCTTATTAAATCAATTGGCTCTTCACCAGACTAAAGCAAACATGAGTCTTCTTAATGCTCTTTTATCCTTGGTTTCACATTTTGAACAATGAAAATTAGAGATCATGCATTCAAAAAATAGTACATGATCAATTTATTTATATTTATTTTGTTCTTTACAGCTGATAAGATATTTTAACGTATTTAATATACTGTCATCCTACGTCATACAATAACCCTGTGGGATAGATAGGCAGGAATAACTGCCTCCATTTTCATTAGGAGTCTGGCTGTGCCCAAGGTTATCAAGCCGATCAGTGGCGAGAGTGCTAAAACCAGAATCCAGGTCTTAAGACTTTTAGAACCGGTCTCTTCTCCAGCTTCTTCTGAGTTCTAGTTGGAACTGACATACCACGATGATGATGATTGCTTTTATGTGTCATTTACTTATTATTTCTCATTATGCCTTTTGATTATCTGCCACAGGAAGACTTATATAAAGTCATTATCTATAGAGCTGGCAAATTGCTTGCCTACAAAATATGTTGCAAGTGGATTAAAAATCAAGGATTAAATATAATATTTTCTATTTTACCTGAATTTTACATACTTCTGCAAATTCTACATCCTCCTAATTACTATAAAAACTGGAAAGCTGTAAACAAGGAAAGGACTATTTCACTTTGACTTTCAAAACACATCTAAAACCAAGTTTTTAAACTACATGGCATCCCAGTGAAAAGAAAGTATGGTGGTTTTAATACTATTTTATACCATGCACACATACCATAATGATTAATGTGTAAAAAAGAAATAATACCAATATTTATATTCAACATTTATATGACTGGATAATTTTTACCACATATTTTTGAGAGAATTAATTAGCTTACCTTTAATACAATACAGCTGTCATCTGTCCGAATTGCACCAGCTCTACACATGTAAGTTAAACTGGAATAAGATGGCAGAAAGTAAGTTTTTGCTTGCCTTTAAGATACTATGCAAAAAAAAAAAAAAGGATAAGTACTATCATTCCACTTGAGGGAAAAGGTTTTGACATTCTCTTCTCTGAGGGGTTCAGGTAAAGAAAACTAACTGATATATATAGACAATAAGTCAGATATTTAAATTGTTTTAAAAAATAAATGTTCTAATGATAAATTTTGAAGGTAGGTGTTGGGCACATTGGGGTTCTCTGTACTTTTCTCTATTTTTTTATGTTTGAAAATGCCATAATAAAAAGAAAAAAAAATTCTTAAAAATAACACAAGGTTAATAGAGTATCGAACTTTAAATGAAGTTAGGCTGGACTATTCCAACTCCAACAGCAGAAGTATCACATAAGAGGCATTTAACTTATACTACTTAAAACTATTCATCAGAAATTAACTAACCATTCAGAGATTACCAGCAGTGGCTTTGGAGATGAGTCAATGATTTGGTTATACTGAAAAACTATTTATCTTCATAATTATATTTTGCTTTGAATAAGAATAAAATTAATTTGTACTCCCTAGGCAGGCACTGAACATTAAGCACCTCAGAATTTTAAATTAATGAATTTCCTTTTTGAATTAGATTCCTTAGTAAGCTGGAGGAAAAAACCTAAACACCCCATTTTGGTTTCTACAGCAAATCAGTAAAATTCTTTTACTTGTAAAGGATTGCATTCTTTGTAGCTGTTATCAATATCTTGAGGCTTGTTACCACATTGTTTTTAAAACCATTTACATGAGCACATTACTTTAGTAACAAGAGAAATGCTCAATTCTGAAATTAAGACAAAAGCAACAAAAAATACAAATAAATAACAAACAAGCAACTAATGCATGAATAATTCATTGAAAAATTCTCACCAAAACATCGGAGAGCCACAAGTTCTTAAATACTGATACTAAACAATTCACTTAGCATAGAACCCTATACAACAGGTGTTCAACACATTGGCTGAAGACAGTAATCACAGAATGATCATGTGTTGAGTGCTCATATGAGCAAGGAATTATGCCAATAAGAACAAATAAGAACATAACTATCTTATAAACTGTCACATTTCTATGGGGATTTTTTTGTTTTGTTCTTCTAAAGATGGGCAAGCACATTCTCTGAAATCATGCCTTGGTTATCAACTTCAACTTCTCTCCATGCCTCTACATTTTTGTATTTTCCTGGCTTAGTACTTAGCATAATACATGTTCATTAAATCTGATCTAATTGTGTATTATTTCAACTGAAATACAAAGTTGAGAAAGTACTAAAACAGTTTTCTGTAGTGTTATATGTTATATGATAGTTCCTGTTCTGCATACTACTAATAGTAAACCGAGTAAAATGCTCACATCCATTTAAGAAAGTGTAAGACAATCCCACGATTTCCAGATTTCAAAATCCCAAAACAAGATGCAGACTGAAAGTCAGCTAATTAGGCTGTACAAAAATACTCTAGGTTATTGATAAAGCACTGTCCTTCTTCCCATCATCTTGACTTTTACCATTTTGCTGATGTGAGCTGCATCTCAATAGGCTTATCCCTCTGTAACATCTTCACAAAAATCTGGGGTAACAATTCTCCATCAACCAAAACTAAAAATAAAACAAACAAGGATTAAGGAAATTCTTTAATCTACAAAGTTAATTAATTAAATCATGTAGGTTCGACAAAGTTCCAGCCTACCATTTACCAGGGTCATCGATACCTGGGGGTTTTCAAAAGCTAAAACTGAGAAGCATTTCAGTGCTTGCATTCGAACCTGTAAAAATAAATGAACACAAAAATGCATTTATGTTAGATTTTCAGATAAGACTTTTAATCTTTCAGAATATAAACTCTTCTTCTGAAGAAATAACTAAATGTGCTTAAAATACTAACAAAAGGCCTCAAATGAATAAAAATAATACTTGTATATCTAAAGAGTACAGTGAGAGTTAAAATTAATTTTGAAGTAACAGAAAAAAATAGGAAGGGAGAAGTAACAATTAAAATTGAACCACATAAATCCCTAATCAAAGTTAAAAGAACAACGCTGCACCAAATGCGATATTGGTAAGACAAAGGCTCCTGTAAGAGCTGTTATTGTTCCTTTGGATCAGCTTTCACCAAATGATCTAGTCATTTCCAAGACTGAGTCCATATATGATGTTCTTATGTGGAATCTGAGGTTGGCAGGAAAGATCACTGGGGGATGAAGAAGCCCTGTCCCTCATCCGGGCACTGCTCTACAACACTAGAATGTGCTCACAGGTGGAACCTGGAGCATGTTAATGACACTGACAATGGCGATGCCTTGGCAAAACAGCAATGTTACCAGACACTTTCTCCTTCCACAACTTCTAAGTTTTTAAATTTGTTATGGCAGATATGGAAGTCCAGTGAGGAAAAGAAGAGAAAGAAATGGAGGAAGAGCAGGTGGAATTAATGAAGCTAGAGGATAGAGAAGAAGAGGAGTAATAAAAAGTGCTTCCAACAAGTGCTTCTAGATGTACAAGTGCTGACTGACGTCAGCCTCTGCATGGTCAGAGCAGATGAAGGAGCTCTCAGTGTATATTTCCCTCCCCTGCTTCTGGCTAGTCTTAATCTGGCTCCATCTTCCATGCCTATCCTTGTGAACTGTTCACCAGGACTGAACTTTGGATTAGCCTGCAATAAAGCCAAGGACCAAAAGAATAGGCTAGGATCAGCGCACATGGATAGAAGACAAAAATGATTACTTCCCTGCTCTGCAGGAAACTCCTGGCACACCCAATGCTAATGTGACACAATAAGAACAATGTCCCAATTCTCAAATTTGCTACAACTTGCTAGTTAGGCAACCATGAATGGTCAAAGTTTTAACTCAATGCCTGATTAACATGATGCTGCTTACCTATATAAAAAGTCAGAGAAAATTTAATGAACAAGCCAAAAACTTGACTTTTTAACTCAAAATACAAAACGGAACACATGTTAAATGTTGGTATGTATGTGAATATACAAGTTTGAGTGACTGTGGCTAAATGTCTCAAATACGAAATCCAGTATCTTTCAGATAAAGCATGGCACTTCTTCTATATACTTCAAGTCAGAGCTGCTACCAACTTGAGTAGCAGTTTTGGCACTGGCATCTAACAAGGAAAGACTTTAAATACTATTAATGACCACAGGTAAAATCAATAGCAACTCACACCACAGCCATATCCTGAAAAAATGGAAATGCAAGGGAAGCTTTCTTTTTATTTAAAGGGGCATTCTATAAGTAAAACAGTGCCCCATAACATATTACTGATAAAATATTAGTGTTGATCATACCTATCAAAGAAGCAATAAAATATGTGAGCCTCTTTCTAGAGCAGGACTAGAAACCGAAAACAAGGTATAAAAATCTGCCCATAATTTTTAACATCTTACTTTGTAGGACACTGAGGTTAGTAGGTGAGCAATATTCTGAACTGCACCATGGTTAAATAAAATTGTTTGATGATCTGGCCCCTGTAAGAGAAGAGAATATAGTAACACGTTAAGAAGAGTAATGATCTGTTCCAATTAAACCACATTTACTTAAATTCACCACAATGTAAAATTCTCAGTTACCTTTTTCTTGCATAAACAGTAACACTATCAGACACTGCAAAAAAGCAGAGTAAATGCTGTTTTCAGTCCTACAAAGGGCTGCCATATCTTACCTCATCCCACCTCTAGAACTGCTGCCTCCTTACTTCCTCAAAATAAGGAAGGAGGCACAGAAGCTATCCTGGCACAGGCCCTTTCCAATTCTTAAACGGCACATCACCCCTGTAACAGGGCCACTATGGATTCTGCATTTCATATGCACATCCTTGCCCTATACCCACAGGAGATTCTTACAACTTAAGACTGATGAGCTAGTGAGGGGGAACTCTAAAACTAACTGCAAAGAGGAACTGGGCCAGAGCCTAACCTCATCAACATGTCAGGGAAGTTTTAGTAATGCTTTGATTAAGAAACAATGCTCCACTACTGAGAAGTGAACAACATGTTTTGATTTCTATTTCATAATTAGTTCTCTCTGTCTCTCCCTCTCTCTCTCTCTTTTTTTTTTTTTCAATTTTATCACTTCTTGGAGTAGGAAGGTAAAGAGATAGGAAAATCAAGGCATTTTGTATTTTGCGTCAATTCTGTTTTCTAATAATCAATTTAATGAAGATCTTCAAAGTGGCAGAAGCTAATGGCTTAAGTATTAGCCACAATTCTTATTCATTTTATGTCTCACCTCATCCACTCAGTAAATAAAAAGCCAATTAAAGCCAGGACAAGGGTGTTATTTCATGCTTTTTCATGAGAAAAACGTAGCACTGAAAGGTAGGCTATCTATCTGGGTCACCAGAGGAAACCAGTGATTGGTCTAGAACAAGAGCCCTCAAACCAATCTCCCCAACCCACTATTTAACAACTATTTTGAAGATGCTCATTCTTTCTTAGACCGAAACATCCATCTTTGAGGAGGGGACATTAGCGTTCATATTTCTGAATAATACAACAGTTATATGCTATTTTATAAGTAATAATCCCCTAAATATTTTATAGACTATTAAAAGAATTCTTAAAAAAAAAAGTTCATCAATTTCTACACATTTTCTAATTTCTGACAGAAAAAAATAATTGGTTATATTCTGATGATTCTATAAGAGTTTCAGGAGAGCATTTCTCACCTTCCTGTCATTTATAATACAAATACAAAGAGGGAAGGAAGAGAAAGAGAAGTGAACACTTACATACCAAACTAGGGAGATCACAGATCTATGCTATTTTAGAACAGTTTCTCAAATAAATGAAAATTAAAGTGCTTAATTCTAAAAAAAGTACCTAGATTATAATTTAAACATTTAAACTCGCTCCCAAATCCTAGCAGATTATCACATCATATTCAATTCTATTTAAGACATTTAGAATTTAAGATTTTTGTAAAAAATTTATGAAGTTTCTCAGGTTGCTTGACAGTGTCAGTCAACTCACAGGACACGGTATGCCAAACAATCCCTTCTTCTTTTGAGGTGGGTAAAGAAAGCCGTTGAGAAAATGACAGTTTTGTTGCAATTCATTTGCTAAAAATGAGTTCAAACCTCAAATAGTCCAGGATTTCCCAACAATGAAATGATATCTTATAGCCAACCCTGGCAGGTAGGTAGAGGAGAAATACTCCAGAACTCTAGGTCTCATTTGTTCAAACCTCAAATAGTCCAGGATTTCCCAACAATGAAATGATATCTTATAGCCAACCCTGGCAGGTAGATAGAGGAGAAATACTCCAGAACTCTAGGCCTCATTCAAAATCTTTTAGCAACTATTCCTGAGTGCTCCAGAGAGCACAGCACCTACTAGCCATAATCACAGTAATCACAAAAGGGTACTGAAAAGTCGACTCTGGAGGTATAACCATCTATCAAATTATTATGTTAAATTGTGATAAATCTGAATAATCTCACTCCTGAAAAATTACCCAAATAGCTTTAAGGATTACTCATCAGAAACTTCTCAATGCTGTTTTAGCTGAGATCATAGGCAAAAAAAACCCACACCATTAAATGACTAGTTCTTTTGCAGGAGAGAAACTTAATGCTCTGCAAGGATTTCAGCTACGTTCATGCCACTGACAGAACTGAAGAACGTTGTAAGAGAAAAACTGTATTGACTCAGGCAGGTTCTTTTAGTCTGATACTTCACATTTGCCACTATAAATAAATGCTCAAATTTAAGTGCTCTGAAACATAACCACCAGCTGCCGCTGAGTTGATTCCCACTCATGGCGACACCCTGTATGTCAGAGTAGAACTGTGCTCCACAGAGTTTTCAATGGCTGATTTTTCAGAAGTAGGCCACCAGGCCTTTCTTCCTAAGCACCCCTGGGTGGACTCAAACCTCCAACCTTTCAGTTAGGAGCTGAGCACTTAATCGTTTGCACCATACCCAGGAACCCCGAGATATACCTAGATCTCAAGAAATCATTAGAGCATTTATAAACCCAATAACAGCAACAGCCTAAAATACAACATAAGCTTCTCTAATGACATACTAACAACATGTAACTTTGAAAATAACTGATCTGATGGCCTCTTTATTGTCCTTAATTATAAAAACCTTTCATTTTGTTTTGTAATTTTTTAAATTGTACTTTAGATAAAGGATTACAGAACAAATAGTTTCTCATTAAACAGTTAGTACACATACTGCCCTATGACATTGGTTAACAACCCCACGACATGTCAACACTCTCCCTTCTCAACCTTGGAGGACCTTTTTTTTGGTGAAAATATACATAGCCAAAGTTA